GTATATATATATACATAAAATATTTATATACAATGTATTTGTTTAACAGATACAAGTAAATACATTGCATTCCATTCCTGTGACCTAACACCAAACACAAAAATGTTTGTTGTTTTTGTCACTTCCACGATGATGTAAATACCAGCAAGACATGTAATGTCCTCTTTAAGTGTAACCATAGGACCTCTGCCCCACTTATCTTTGACAAGAGAGCCGGGCAGCTGATGTTATCACCATGTGTGGCATCCAGATCTGCACAAGGCTACAAAAAAACGTAATTCGACGATGACACGGCCCGACCCAGGCGCAATGTGCCAAAATGAATTGCGTAAACTGGATCTCACGTTATCAAGCGTGGTTTTGTTTTTTGTGGCTCGGTCCCCAGAACAGGCTGTACGTGGTGGCCTGCGAAACGCTTGTTTGGAAAGGATCAGGATTTCTGAGTACTGTGACTGATATTCTGGAGCAGGATCTATGGCAGATTGTACCCACAGCATAGGGAAAGGGGTTGACCAATAATAGATATTTCAACAGACCATGTATAAATAGACAGGCGCAGGACCTGGGAAGGAGGAGGTGATCTGATTGGCTGAGAGCTGCAATAGTCATGCATCAGCATCATTTGTTGCTAGACAAGCATTCGGTGTCGGTGGAAATGTGCTATAACAAGTCTTTGTTATTGAGCAAAATAAATAATCCTTTAGTCACATTGTTTGTAATGCCCCGATGCAGCACGCATGGTTCATGATCAATATATATTTATACAGGTTAAGTAATATATAAGTTGGTTGAGTGTTCATAGTAAATATGGAGGTCTTTGTGTAATAAAATCAGTTTATTTTTAGGCTCTGGTCAGCTTGCAGAGCTCTTATTGTGTCTGCAAGCACTACTCTATTTTGACTTAAGCTGTCTCCCCAACCGGAGGTGGGGCCATCATGATATTCATATTAATAAACCACCTGTACTATTATTATGGTATAACATCGTGCTGTTACATTTATATTTCTCTTTTATCTCTAAAAAAAAAGATTCCTTAACCTCTTCCTGCTGGCGTAACGCCTATATGCAGCAGCACAGCGGGTGGGCCTTATTGCCCAGCTGGCACATATATGCATCCAAGGGGCTCCACTGTTGTATGCGGAAAGCGCGTTCGCTACACCCTTCCAGCACACTGATCGAGCTGTCACAGTCAGTTCTCAGTCACTGGCGGGGCTGGCTCCCAATGTAACTCTGTGATAGCCACCAACAGTGGTCACATGATCCTCCACCTCCCAACATTAAGACCCAACTAAAGGGGTTAAAGTGCATTGAACTCTGAGATTGTAAAGTGTTACCAGAATGTTGGTGCAGCCGCCCTTAGGTGCTTGTATATATCTTTTGCCATCCTTTATAATGCCAAATGCTTGGGTGCTCATTGGGTAAATACCCACCAACAAGCAAGGTGGTGCTTTGGCCAACCTCTCCTCTAAATTGGTGGCCAATAGCAATATGGGGGAGGGGTAGACCATAGTGACAACCATCTTGCAGAACTTGGTATTTGTATAATAATTTCACATTTAAAAGCCCCCGAGTTCTGCTGCATGGGAGGAACTTACCTTACATTGTCCAGTACAGACACATTTTAAAGTGCACTTTTGCCTTCCCTATGCAGGACAAAGCAACCGGCCCACATTGTGCAGATCCCACCAGCAACATGTATTTACCTTTCCTTGAGTTCACCTGTTTGGTTCAGCTATCGATTGTGCTTGTGTTCAGGCATGTGTAGGGGGGCAGTATACTATAAAAAGGTCCTCTGATGGTGGGAAGGGGAACAATAACGGTTGGATGAGATTTACCCAATCATAATTGCAACCATAATGTTTTTGGATACAATTTATTTTGAGTTGTTTTTTTTAACTTTTTTTTTTTAGTTGTTCTTTTAAAACAGTTGTTTTATATCTGTTTTTGTTGATCATTTTTGCCTTACAAATAAACATACGAGGACTGTTTGCTAGTAGCTAAAATGAGAGAATAGCAGACACAGCTTGCTTTGATGTCCCCTTTGTTTGATTGAGAACCATTTGATAAGGAAGAAGTCACTGCTGTGGATACTTACTGAGTTTTCTTTGTAGAAAAAAATAGCTTTTTTCAGCAAAACTGAAAAAAATACAATGCTACTGATGTGAAAAGGGGGCGTTAGCTCCACCTGCTGGCTGGATATCAAACTACACATATTAATATGGAATATTTCATATTACCTGACTTCAAATAAGGAAAAAAAAGTCTTTCTTTTTAAGCCTTGACCATAAAAAATGAAAATATGTAAAAACACTATACATTCCCTGTAAGAAAATCTGGTCTTCTTTAAAGAGGACCTGCTGCGGGGAAGTTAGTTATAAGTGAGTAAGGGGTGGGCTACTGTTACTTTTCCCAGTGGACAAATGCAGTCTCTTTAAAGCCATAGTATTGTATGGAAAAGAAAGGCGTCTTTGACCTGATCAACATTCACCTAGTTTGAAAATATCTAAATTGGATCCCTAAAAGTATGTACATACTACAGTGCTTTATGGGGGAAGGGGGAGGGAGTATACTGCAGTTGACTGTGCTGTAATGTTCTTCTTACCTTTTAGAAAAATGTATTATGTTTTGAATATATTGCATTGCAGTGTGTTTTTGTTTTTAGATGCTTGTGAACCTGTTTTTGTGCTGTCAGAGTGTGTAGTTCCATCTAATGGAACTCTTTATTAATGCATCCAGCATGCGTCTAAGTGCACTTAAAGTGACTCCTACAAAAGGGTCACTGCAAAAAAATACTGTTCATACTTACTCTCAAATTGTCACTTTGCTGAAGATGTAGGGCCACCAATGACCCTCCAGCATCTGACCCACTTCTGGAATGCCCGGTTACCCTCTGGCTGCTCTCTGATTACTGTGTCCTGCAATGACATAGGGACTGGCAGATGTAACCACAGCGGAGGGTGGCACAAGAATCCAACACACCCAGAAATGTTGGATAACTGATGTGACACTGCACAAGGCTCTTCCATGTCAACTTTTCTGCACCTTGGGTGCCAGCCTCCCACTTTGGGTGTCGGCCCCTCCATGGCTCTATCCAGCCACACATGCACAAGTGTTTAGGGAGCTGTAGCAGCACTCCCAATTCTGGTGTAACACCAACCACGCAAACTCCTCCAAACCAATATCAGCTGCTTATCTTGCAGCCCTCAACCCCACAAGACAAAATGTACCGTGAAACCTTTAGAAAAACCTAAAGCACATGAAAAAAAATCCCCAAAAATTACTTATCTTAGACCCCAGCCAGGTGTAATAATCACTGGCCCTTTTTCCGGCATTCTGGGGAAGCTGGGGATCCAAAGCTTGCAAGAATACACAAAGCTGGAGGGACTTCTTGTGAGTTGAGATCCTGAGATTGGTCAGGATCCTGTGGTGAGGTCAGCTGCCTACAGGAAACAGGCAGAAACTGGGGTGTA